TATATATATATATATATATATATAATAGAAACGTATCCACGGTATAAAATGTGGTTCTTGGTTTAAAGTATATATACAATGTACATAATTTGGCTAAACTACATATACATATTTGATGGAACCCATGATCAAAAGAGGTTTAGTGGTTCATTGGTTTTGGCCCCTTATTTCTGGTAGCCTAAAGTTAAGGAATCGAATCTCCTACCAAAATTTTTGTTTAAATTTTTTTTCTTTCTATTTCTACAATCATAACTTTTCTTTTTTATTCTTTAAATCACTAAACAATCAATTCCCAATTCCCCAGTTCCCACACGCCTGGAGTTTACTCCATTTCCTCATTCAGGAATGGTGCACCCATCTTCTCAGATGAAATAAATAGTAAAACAAGAACAACAACTTTTACGTGAAAAATCATCCGACTCAAAGGTGTAAAAACCACGATACCTCGTAGGATTTTAACTTCAATTTCACAAGAACAAATGAGCAAAACGTGCTGATTATAAGACTTATAAACCAATACCCACACAATCCTCATGCTTCTACTTCTTGTATGAATTGCAAGTTACTCTAACTTGCACAGTTAAACAATACTCCAGCTAACATGTTTTGAATAACATTTTGATTACAACTCAATCTCCTAATAAATATATACTAATAACGAAGAACAATGACTTTCAGAACACTCTAATAATCGACTTGAGTGTTTAACCGGAAATGCAATGTTACATTTTTCAGTTGATGTGCAAAAGGATAGTCTTAACAATCCATAGGGAAAGTATTTTACTTCCCAGCACTCCGAAATCTTTGGGAGTCCTACATGCAGTCAAACTCTTGTATACCAACAATCATGAAGTTCCAAGGACTCCACGAATCATCTGACTTATGTCTATTAGATATGCATGCAGTTATTCTTGGACAATAGTTCTTATCGCATCAAGAGTCCTTTCCAGCAATATAGGACTGTAGTAACTTTGTGTAAAAGTTATTGCCTTGTAAGGCCGAGGGTCTGTAGGAAACAGCCTCTCTATCCCATCGGGAGAGGGGTAAGGTGTGCGTACACACTACCCTCCCCAGACCCTGTCTAGTGGGACTTTACTGGGTCGTTGTTGTTGTTGTTGTTGCTGTTATTGCCTTGTAAGAACCTTCAGCAACTACGTTGAGAACTTGGTTCTTAGCGTACGTTCACTGGACACAATTGTTATATATCAAAACCCAATTCTCAACAAAGTAACTAAACTAACAGATTCCTAAAGAAAACTTCAAACCTAACCGAATTCTAACTACATTACAATTAGAGGATAATTTGTGCCAATTGGTAGCCATTTTTAGAGGGTTTAATCTAGTGGGGTTGGTTAGAAAATTTTGTATTAGCTTAGGCTAGTTAACAATAGGCCGAGTACCACAACTACAATTTACAATCACTCAATTTTAACATCAATCTTTGTATTTTAATTAGTTTGATTCTAATCTGATCAAGTTTAACTCTTCTACATATGGTTTGGTTTGTTCTACGGTCCTTTGTTCAATTTACCCGTTTCTCTTTTTTCAAAAATATAATTAAGTAAATAAAAGTGTGCTCTCTCTAACAATTTCAACATTTAGGTGAAATGATTAGATGCTTTAACATGATATCAAAATCAGATGTCCTGAGTTCGAGTCTCATCGCCACGCTTCATCAAAAAAAAAATTTACATAATCAAGTTAGCACGAAGGAGTGTGAACAAAAATACCACTTTAATTAAGATAGCATTTCTAGCTAGTAACTCAAGACTTTTATTTCCATTTTGACATATAGCTTAATTAACTCAAGTTGTTAGGTTAGATTATGTAATACAAAAGAGATATCCAAATAGCAAACACAAACAGCATGATATGTTCAATTCTTAGCCAAATATATTTACTTTGCCCTAGGTAAAGAAATATGCTATTTATAATTATTTAAGATAAATCATTTGGAAGTTGTTTTGTGGAAAAGTCGAGTCTAGAAAACTGCCAACTTAATTAAATAACTAGTCCGGTACGTCCTATGAAATTTGCAATAATAGCCCCCAAGATGTTCAAATAATTATGCTATAAATAGAAGCAAAATTTTCATTAGTTTCCTCATCCTTCTGACAATTATTACAACTCAATTAGTAGTTATATAATTAAGATATATAGTTTCTATTAAGAAAAAAGATGGGATCAAAGGCATTTATGCTTATTGTTTTGGCTATTTTACTTGTGATAACATCTGAGGTTTCAGCTAGGGAGTTGGTTGAGAGCACCCCCACTACTACAGACAATGGTATAATTCCTAATTTCTTTTAAGATATTTTTCACTTCCTAAATATAAAATATTTTCTTAGTACATTTCAAGAGTTTAATATTTCAAGTTATGGGGTAAGTTTTATGGACTTTTATTGTACAAAAAATTATACACTGTTAATTAATGCATGAGAGTTAAACTCATGTATGATTAATATTGGTGCAGCAAAAGTATCCGAAAAGAAAAATGATGATGTAAATTACTCGAAATTTTTAGGAGCAGGATTTCCAGCAGGAGTCGGAGTAGGTGGATATGGAGGATTCCCCGTAGGAAGATATGGAGGATACATTGGAGGAGGATATGGCGGATACCCATATGGTGGATATGGTGGATACCCTGGTGGACGTGGATATTATGGAGGTTATCCAAGAGGCGGATATGGCGGATATGGTGGATATGGTGGATATGGTAGTGGATATGGCTATGGTGGTGGCTATGGAGGATATCCTAGAGGTAGTTGGTATGGAGTATTGCCTCACAACTAATTAATTTACTAATGAATA